ATGAATTTGTGCGGCTGTTTATGTTTGCACATTGCCTTCCTCTGAATGTGCCCTGTTCCTGCTGACCTCTGGTCTCCGCCGCCCCTGATGCTCCTTCCCTCCCACCAGGTCCACGCTCTTTAACGCCCTCACTGTGCCTCTCTTGGCCTTCAAATTCTACCTCCTCCAGGAAGTCTTCTGTGATGCACCTGCTCTCCCCTAGCGTGTGGAATGCCCTTCTAGTGTGCTACTGAAATACCAGCTTGCTCTGGGGCTGGAGAATGACCTCCACTGCCTGCATCCCTCACCACAGCAGGCTTCGATTTGCAACGCTCCTCCTGGATCCCTAGCCCCGTGGCCTGTGACTGTTGGAACGACTATCTGCCTGGCAGACACTGCCATTGGAGGCCTCTCCCCTCTGGGACCTGCAGTCCCATGAAGAGGTTCCCGACTTCATTTCTTCGAGGCTTGTCAAAGCTCTAACGACCTCCTCCCATGGAGCGGGGAGCATCCAGCGTCGGCCCAGATCCAAGATCTTACCCTTTCCCTCTGGCTGTATTTGCTGCTAACACTTGACATGCTGCCAAGGGCCCGGGGGTAAAATTCCCTACAGGGACGCGGTTCCAGGGACCCAATGTTATAGCCACTCTCCTGGCCCCAGCCCCTGCCCCAGGGGGTGGGCTCAGCCAGAGGAACCTGGCTGCAGCAGGGCATGGGGACCTGCCCTCTTGATTTATGAGGGCTAAGTTGCACCTGCCCCCCTGTTCTTAGCACCCACAAAGCAACCCACCTGTTCTCTCCATCCCTGCTCCTGCCGCCCTGGGTCAGAGCCCCAACGCCACCTTTTTGCCTGGGATGTAGCAAAGGTCTAACCAGCCTCCCTGCCTCTGACCCGTCGCTCTCATTGTGTGAAATCCCACTCAGGGAGTGATTTCCCTCAGATGTCAATCTGACCATGATTAAAGCCCTCTGGCGGCTCCTCACTGCCGACAGGTCAGTCTAAGCGCGGCCAAGGCCCCTCCGGTCAGCTTCATTCTTTGCCACTGCCCACAGGCCTGCGCTCTAGGCGCCAACGACCAGCATGTTCTCCTTGGGCTCCCTACTTTTCAGCTGCTCTGCCCTTTACCTGGTACTTCCTTCGTCTTATTTGTTCAATTCCTTCAATACATATTTGTTAAGTGCTTATGATGTGCTTGCTTCTCTGCTAGATAAAGTCCCCAGGGGTGAAAAGGACAGACCTTGTATTCTGGTCTTCTATTTGGGAAAAGAGATAGGAGACAGTTGCATGAACCAACTAACTGTGAATAGGAACAGGTGCTCTGACGAAAAGAACTTGGGGCACATCACAGTGACTTCTCGCTTTACTGGAGGGGCAGGGCGGGGCAGGGCAAGTGTCCCAGGATGACGATGCTGGGTCTGAGACGTGAGGATGCCTGGGGGCAGGGGGTTCCAGGCAGAGGGGAAGCAAGCACAAAGGCCCTGCCTTGGGAATGAGCCTGGAATGCAGAAGGAACAGAGAGGTGGTGGGTGTGGCTAGTGCACAGTCGAGGGCACAGTGTTTGGGCCCAAGTGCTGTGGAGGGCGCTCAGAGAAGGCTGCCCTCTCGCTCCTGGCCCTCTCCGTACCCAGAGAGACCGTCTTCTTGGCATCTCTTAACACTTGTTACGCGGCGAGTGACTTCCGTATAGGGATGGGGTCAGCCTCTAAGTTCAACCCCAGTGCCCTACACGGTGCCCGACAGATGGCTGGCATTCACACATGCTTGTTGAGCAGATAAATGCAGTCACAGACTGTGAGAAGGACCACTGATGCCGTTCCTACCCCGATGACCCACCAGGGGAAGCAGGTGGTAGGAGAAGCGGGGTGGGTCATATCTAAAGGGAGTCCCACTTCATGAGGCGCTGAACAGCACACTTGGGGGACTCACTGATGGGGACAACTGACGGATGGCTTCATCCTGCCAAGGCTTTTTATGTGAGTCTCTTCCATGCAGGAAAAAACAAAGGCAAGAAAATGGTTTTCATTTAGTGTTTGGGGGAGAAAGTGCCGAATGGGCACTCAGATATTGATGATGATGGCAAATACCGATTTGAGCAGGAAGGCAAAACCAGAACACAGCGTTTGTCGAAACCTCTAAGTGCTTCCCAGAATCTGAGCCAGAGTTCAAGTGCTTAATGGTATTTTTTCCTCTACTTCCAGTGGGAGTGAAGGGCAGACACCGGCAAAGGCCTGGAGGGTGATGCGGGGAAGGGCCGGAGCTTGAGGGGACCCCACTGTGCCCCGGGAGCTGAATACCGGAGGGCAGGGTGGCAGTCTTCTCTAAGTGCTCTCCACAGCTGTTGTCCCAAGCACTGTCCCGGTAAAGGGCCAGGTAGATGTGTCCTCTACACCTTCCACAGACACCCTCCCCTGCCACTGGGAGCTGAAAAGAATTCTCATGACATCCAACATAAGTATATAAACAATAGGGGCGCCTGGGTGGCTCAATCGTTAAGCATCTGCCTTCGGCTCAGGTCATGATCCCAGGGTCCTGGGATCGAGCCCTGCATTGGGCTCCCTGCTCTGCGGGGAGTCTGCTTCTCCCTCTCCCACTCCCTTTGCTTGTGTTCCCTCTCTCGCTCACTCTCTGTCAAATAAATAAAATCTTAAAAAAAAAAAAGAGTATAAACAATAACACTAATAGTAACAAAACAGAATTCTGACTCTTTCACCGGCTCACAATATCCTTCCAACCTGCTTCCTGCCTTCCTGATGCTCAGCTTCTGCTGTTCTCCTCCTCCCGCTCCAGCCCCCGGGGAACATTGGCCATCCTGCAGGTCCTCATATCGGCCCTAGCTTGCCCCAGGGCCTTTGTACTGGCCACTCCCTGCTCCCTGGAATGTACTTCCCCTGCTCTGCCACCTCCCTCCCCAGCTTTCCTGAGGTATAATTGGTAATATAAAAAAATTACACGTCATGAAAATAATTTGGTGACTTTGGACTTATGTTACCTTTGGGTTACTTTCACCACAATCAAGGTAATGAACATATCCATCGCCCCCACCCCCTGCAAAGTTTCTTAGTTTTTTTTTCTGTGTGTTACGAGTGTGGTCAGAACACTTAACATGAGATCTACCCTCTTAAAATGTTTAAGTGCACCATACCCTGTTAACTACAAGCACTATGTTGTACAGCAAATCTCTGGGACTTACTCATGTGGTGTAACTTCGTACCCACCGAACAAGGGCTCCCCATGACCCCGCTCCCCATCCCCTGGTAACCAACATTCTGTTGTCTAGCTCTGTACGTTTACTATTTTAGACGCCTCCCCTGTGAGGCGTCATGCAGTATTTATCCTTCGGTGACTGGCTTCTTTCACTTAGCGTACCATCTCCCTGGCCCACCCATGTTGTCAAAGGGTAAGTTTTTAGGGTTGTTTTTAAGGTTGAACAACGTTCTATTGGACACACGCAGCACATTTTATCCGTTCACCTGCGGGTGGGCAGGGAGGTTGTCTCCGCCTGCAGCCAACACGAGGAATGCTGCAGTGACCAGTGTACATACTGTCTTCAGGGATCCCAATCTCAAGTGTCTGGGAGACATCACAGAAGTGGGGCTGCTGGGTCAGAGGACGTTCCTCTTTGTCATTTCTGGGGGATCCTCCCTCTTGTTCTGCACAGCGGCCTCGGAATCACATATTCAGCCAGTAATGGACAGCATTCCAATTTCCCCATGTCTCACCAACTCCCGTTATCTTTTGTTCTTTGGTAAAAGCAGACATCCTAACAGGTGTGCGGAGGTAGCACGCTGTGGCTTTGACTTGTATTTCCCTCACCCCTTGCTCTTCTATGGCTGGTTCTTTCTTGTCATTCAGGACTCAGAGGGAACATCACCTCCTCGGAGAAGCTCCCCCCCTCCCCCACGACTCTGCAGACCAGTGGAGTAGCCCAGCTGCTCGTTAATATGCCACCATGGAGCACCTGCCACTGGCTGATCACTTTCCCTGAAGGTTCATATGGTTATCAACTGTTTCCCCCTGAGAATATTAGCACCACGACCGCAAGGACCGGTGTCCTTTTGTACCTGTGAGTGCTCAGTGCTCAGAACAGGAAGGCCCTCAGTAAATGTTCGCCGAATAAACAAATGACTTGTGTGTCTAATACTGAGGGTCAAGGAAAGGGAGGAAATACTTACTGAGCATCTGACATATGGCCGGGGCTGAGCCAGGTGCTTCAAATGCAATTTCATACTTAGTCTCAAAACACGCCTTTAAGTTTTGCATCTCCATTTGGTGGTTGAAACGGAAGCACAGAGAGGCTGAATAACTTGCCCGAGGTCACATATTTGGTAACTGGACAAGCCCAGGTCAGCCTGACCCGCCAGGCCCTCCCTGCCTTTTTCCTGACAGTGTGCTTCTTCCCCATTTCCTGCTCCCCAGAACTTGAAGTCACTCTCAACTTGGCTCCTTGCTGGCTGTGAGCAACCCACTGAGCCTCCCTGTGCCTCCACCTCTCCACTCCCACTGGGGAAAGGAAGAGGGTCTCTGTGAACATCAGATGAGATATAACATAGGAAAACATTATCAGCAGCGAAAAAATAGGAAGATACAGGTGCTAGCTTTGCCTGTGACCACCTAACACTTTCTTCGCCTAGGCGAACCCTCCAGGAGCCAGTTACTCGTGAAGATCTTTGATGCCACCCACGCGCTGACCACACTGAATCCTCCTGACTCTCCCACGTGGCTGCCATGTCCACAAGGACCTCAGAGTTTCCCGGCTATGGAGAGACACGCTGTCTACTGTTTCACGGGAGCTCTGGCTCCGGCTTCCTCCGCTTGGAAACCCCCTCCTGACCCCACCCTGTGCGGGCCGAGCGTCCCTGCTCTGCACCCACAGCGAAGGGCATGGAGGGGAGCTGCTGATGCACCTGTCTCCCCCAGCAGCTGGGATGCCCAGGGCAAGCTCCGCCAGCGTCCTGTCCACCTTGGGCGAGCCTGGAGCCCGGCCTGGGGGGGTGCTCCCTGTGCCCCACGAGCCACTTACGTTTTCACTGTTGACATCAGCTTCACTGGGGCAGCCGAAGAGCTCTCGCCTCAGGAGGTTGCCGTCGTACTCCAGGAAGGTCAGGTAGAGGTTGCGGAAAAACTCCACGTGCTTGTTCTTCACCCGCAGCTTCTTGGGGGAGTTCCAGTGGATGACCTAGCAGGGAGACAAGGAGGCAGGCAGGCAGGGAGGACCTCGTGCTCGTGCGCAGAGTCGGCTGGCCACCGGTCTAAGCATCGTTTGTGGGCTTGTCCATTCACTCACTCACTCACTCACTCACTCATTCCTTCACCATTCACGGTGGTGGTGGGTCGGGGGGTGAAGAAGAAGGGTGCTGAGGCCGTGCAGTGTGGGTTCAAATCCTGCCTCTGACCTTGGGCAAGTGACTTACTGTCCATGCCTCAGTTTCCCCGCCTGTGAAATGGGGAGAGCAACAGCTCCTGCCTGTACCAGCGTGTAAGCTCCTTTCTCTCAGCTCCCAGCCTGCTTTGCGATGCTGAGGTTGGGACTCTGCAAACCCCACTTCTACTTTGTCGGCCGCCTCCCGTTAGATGCTGCCAGCCGGGGCCACAAGAGGGAGACTGGGAGTTTGGGGGAGGAAAAAGGAACGTGCCCCCCCCCCCGCCCCCCGCCCCGGTGCTTCCTGTTCCTGCAAGCGCCACCCTACCTCCCTTCTTCGAGGCAGGCACCAGGCACTTCCTTCCAGTAGCAGCAGCTAGAATCGTTTTGCAGCTTTCCCAGCACTCAGGATGAGCTTCCTGGTCTGCCTCTGGAGCTGCCTGCTGTCCCCCAGCCCAGGTTGTAATGCTCCCCATCCCCCCTCTGCTCCTTCGGCTCTGGGGCGGGAGCTGTTTTCCTGCGATTTTCTAGTTTTGCTTTTTTTTTGGTTACCAAATCAACACTTTATGTCTAGTTGCCATTTTTTAAAGATTAAATTCTCTGTTCAGATAATTGGTATGGTTGCTGCCTCCAGCCAGGACTGATGGATGCACGGTGTCAACAGAGCTGCCGTGAAAAATAAACTTGTTCATACGTGTAAAGCGTGCGAGTCGTGTCTGGCAAAAGGTGAGCGCTCCATAAAGGCTGGCTAGTAAGTGCTTACGGTGGACCAGGTTGGGAGGGGGCAGCGGCCTCTGCTGACGGTGCTCACCCTTGGTTGGCAGGCGGTTGGCCAGAGACCTGTCCACAAACGGCACAGAATGTGATGGTGGAGGGAGGCTCAAGGGGAACGGGAGCTCTGCAGCAGGAGCTCTAGTGATGCATGGGCTGGGGCTTGAAGGATGAACCAGAGTTTCCCGGGAGGCAGGGGCCAGTCAGCACAGAGGGGATGGTGGTGGCACGGTCCAGGCAGAGGTGGGTGGGAGAGAGAGGAGGCTGCGGAGGTGAGCAGGGCGCAGGGAGAGCCTGGCTCCATGCAGGTCATGCTCAGAGCTCAGCTGTGGCGCTGGGGAGCTTACAGAGGGGGAGATTACTAACTCCGGGTTTCAGTAAGATGCTCTGATGTAATGGACAAGCCAGGAGTGGAGGCGTGGGAGGCCAAAAGAGGAGCTAGCAGGGACAGCTCGTGCCCTTGGCCGGGGAGCTGTCTGGGGCAGGGAGGGGGTGGGTCCTTCACCACCAGGATTACGTCATGGTCTTTTTAATGCTCACGGTGACCTGAATAAGGAATGCGATTTTAGAGATGAAGAAACTGGAGAAATGACTTGCCCAAGGCCACAAAGTTGGTAAATGTGGCAATGGGGATTCAAACCTAAGTTTGAGTAAACCTGATTCCAAAAGCCCCTGTTCTTCTGTCCTGGAGAAGCCAGGTTTTTAAAACTTCCCTGTTAACGCCTGGTCACATTACAGAAGAAATAAACTAGCTCTCACCTTCCCCCCACTCGCCTCCTATGGTGGAGGGACCAGCATAGCTGACACTGAGACAGAGGAAGGGAATGGGGTGTCCAGAGCTCGGTCCCTTCCTGGCTCCCTCCTTCAGCCATATTCTGTCTGCAGGCACCTGAACAGGGCCACCATTTGGAGAGATCTGGAAGGCCCCCTCTCTCAGGGCCCCCTGGATATATGGCAGCCACAGACAGCCCTTGCAGCTGGCTGGGTAATAACGCCCTGCAAGACCAGCTCCCTCTCTCATGGCACAGGCAACAACAGGAAACCTATGTGGTACAAACCGCATCCCCCGCCCTCCCATGACCTGCATTGTGCAATGGCAGAGCCAGAACCAGGGACATCAGGCCAGCCTGACCGTGAATCTCAGCTCCTCATTAGCTGTGTGGGTCCTTGGGCAGCTGGTCTTATTCCCTGCGGCCTCAGGGTCTTTACGTGCAAGGTGGGAACCTATCATCCCGACTCCACAAAGTCATTACGAGGCTTAAGGAAATGCCTAGCCCAGTGCCTGCAGGCCAGGGTGACCCCGAATTCTGTGGGTTCCCTTCTTCCCTCACAGATGGCAGCAGCGGCCTGCCTACCAGCACTCTGCGCCCCCCTCTCCTCCTGCGAGAAGGATGTCCACTGGAGCAGTGAGCAAGGAAGTGTGTTTGGCATCCAGGGCAGTGCAGCAGGGCCAGCAGACCCTCCCTGGGAGGAGGCCACTTGGCGGTGTCTGCATTTCAGGGAGGGGGGAGCGTGCGGGGTGCATTCTCTTCCTGTGCCTTTTGAAGGATGCAAGAGGGAAGGAGAGGGGAGATTCTCCCCCGAGAATACACCAACCCGGGCATGAGAAGGTCCTGGGCCACGCATTAAAATAATTGCATGTGAGCTGGTGTTACTCACACCCTGTGGGGATCATGTCTTTGCTGCAAGAGATTTTGGTGCTTGCCAAGTGCTGAGCCAGCAGGAAGGCTGATGGATGTGTATCTGACTCAGGAAACTTGAACTTCTTCAACAGGGAGAAACTTACACTAAGTAAAAATAAGGGCTGGCGCGTGGGTCCCCGGACAAACAAATCTTTACTCCTAGTGCACAAATCTGCCAGGCACTTTGGAGACACTGTGTCATTAAATCCCCCAAAAAAGCCCATTCGGATGCCACTGTCCATTTTATGAAGATGGTCCCTGACTTGTTTGAATCTCACAGCTGGTAAGCGGCAGAGCTGAGACACGAAGCCAGCTCTCAGCCCGAAACCCCAGGTTGCTTACTGCTATCGTGTACGGCCTCAATGGGCTGAGCCCTTTGCAGATGAGGGCCGTGAGGCTTACAGAGGAGGAGGAGGCTTGCCTGAGATCACATGGTGAGTTTGGACCGGGTCAAGACTATGACGAGGACCCAGGTCTGTAGGTGCCCCCAACCCACTCCAGGCCACCCCTTATCCCTCCATATCTCATTCTGTTCTGTGTCCAGGCAGGGATCTGGGTCTGCCTATTGCCTCTGGGTAGATACTGGTGCTTGGTGTTCTAGAAAAAGCAGCAAAAGGTAAAGGAAGGTGGGGGAGAAGATGGTGGGATTGCCGGCAGGCCAAGGGGATTTGGGAAAACCCTTTGCAACCTGGCTGCCCTGGGACAGGGAAGCCCACTCAAAGGCTAACTCAAAGATCCTGGTGCTTGTCAAGTGCTGAGCCAGCAGGAAGGCTGAGGGATGTGCGTCTGGCTCAAAAAACTGGAGTCTCCCCAACAGGGAGAAACTTAATGTATATTCAGATTTACTTTTTTCTCCTTCCTGTGCTAGGCTCTAGAGAGGTAAATAATAGCTATGTTTACCTAATACCCACTATACACTAGACATCAGGCCACCGGCTGGTGTGTATGCGTGTGTGATGTTTTCGCATTCAATCCTCAAAACCACCTGGTAAGGTTGTTTCTATTATCCCCATTTTATAGACGATAATGCTGAAGCCGAGCCTAACTCAGGGTCACTCAACTAGTAAGGAACCAATCCTAATACAAAATCAGGTCTGTCTTCTGCCCAAATCTTTTTCTTTCTACCACATCATGCGTTCATTTGATACATATTAAAAGGAGCACTGAGTGTGTGCCAGGCACTGAAAGGGGCCATGACTGCAAAGGCGGACACAAGGATCACGACTCTCTTTCTGGAACTTACAACTGTGAGAGGGAGCAGGATGTAAACTAACTGTCCACTTTAAATTACAGGTGTGGTATGTTCTCTTAAGGAGCTGTTGTTAAAGAGAGGTTGTCAGTGATGGTTTCTGGGCAGGGCCGCCTCGAGTATAAAGAAACCAAGGCCCAGGGGGAGAAAGTGACTTGCCCGGAGTCACACAGCAGGAGAGGGAGAAGTCATGCCCACATTCTGTCTCCCAGGGTACTGTTCCTTCCACTAAACCATATGCCTGCTTCGGAAAATCCGACTCAGGATTAGTATTGCTGATAATTTTGATCAGCGCTTGTCTACTAAGAAATGTCATTTCCTGGTCCCTTGAGGGACAGCATCACCCATCATTGCTGGCTTGGGGGCAGCAAGCCGGTGGTGTGGATGACATTTGCTGACAAGCTTTCACACACGAGATGGAGTGACACTGGAGAATGTGTCCTGAAATAGATTTTTGCAGGGAGCTGGTAAGTGTGTGTGAGTCTACCAAGGCTTGCGGAGAAAACCTATCGTAACCTCTTTCACTTGCTGAGGCACACTAGCCTGGCAATCACAATTATTATCAGGAGCGAACATACACAGGATGTTTGCTACGTGCCAAGCACTGCTCCGAAACTTCGCTGTGACAGCTCATTTAACACACTCATTCAAGGGTACGGGTGATAGTCTTCTCATCCCCTCTTACAGATGGGGGAAGTCCAGCAAATCGCCCCAAGTTACATGGCCAGGAAGGGGGGGGTGCGGTCAGGATTTGAACACAAAGAGAGACATTAGGGATCTCTCTCTCATTTCTCTGTCGGTATCATTACATGACTCTATTCACAGCCATGAATATGAGATTTACAGAAGAATTATGGGATCCTAAAAGAAGCCTACTTTCACCTTCCGAGTACAGGGACCTCGCCCATCCCTGGGGTACTGAGGCTGCAGGACAGTTTAGGACTTCTCAGATACAGGGGCTGAGCCTCCAGCTTGGCAGGAAGCAGAGAAGGAGGCATCCAGGTTGCATGCCTGCTGGGTGGCAGAAGCAGCCAGGCACCAGGGGCCCCAGGGGTGGGAGCTGATTGGATCTGGAATGTCTGTGAAGGCTGAGTATATGTGCAGACTTGGTAGTCAGCCTGCAGTGAGCCAGAGAAATTGACAGAAATGGATTACCGTCCAGGAAACTTAAACATCACCTGGGAAGACAGCAGAAGTCAACTCGATTAAAGGAGGAACATGAGACTCTCACCCATCAAGGAAAAAGCATTTCAAAGGTAGAAATGAGACCTCGGTACGAGGACAAAGCTATGGAAAGAGCTCAAAAATTCAGCTTCTGAAGCACTAGGAATCCAGAGGGTTCATAAAAGTAACTTATGGTGCCAAAGTGCTAGGACATCAGAGCCTGAGTGTAAGTGCCAGGTGAACAAGAACATGGGCCTCACGTCTTCCAAGTCACAGGGGTCAGGGGTATCTAGAAAACGGGTCTGTCTCAAGACCTCCCCTGACAGTTTCTATGGCCCACAGAATTTTCTACAACCCTCCTTAGCCTGGTAGTTAAGCCCGTTGCAGACTGGCTCCCTTGCAATCCCTGTTCTATCTCCAGTCTGTAAGAACTTCCCGGTATTTCTGGAACCTGCCTTTCATGACTCGGTGCCTTTGCATATATGCCCTATCCCCCTCTATCCCCCTCCCCAGAACATCCCTTCTTCTTCTCTACCATGTGAATGCCTGCTTGTTGTCCTTCACGGCTGAGCTCAAATGCACGTCTCTCCTGTAAATCTCTGCCTGACCGCTTGTGGCAGCAGGTACCCTCCTAGCAGCTCTCTCTACCCCATTCTTCATTCGCGACAGAACACTAACTTTGTAGTTGCAGTTCCCAGCTCCTGTGAATGGATCATGATCCGTTTAAGATCTAAGCTCATTAGGATGATCCTATGCTCTGATAGTCGAGAGGGAGGAGTTGTGTCCACATTCTGTCTCCCAGGGTACTGTTCCTTCCACTAAACCATATGCCTGC